GAAACACTAAAAAAAAGGAATGCACATAATTGGAATAAAGTTAGAATCCTCGTGTAACAGGAAGTTAAATTAACGTTTTAAATACGTATCGGAAATGTACTTTCTCATCAAACACTTCGAAAAGACTCTTGCTCCACTCGCCATAACTTTACATTCATTTATATTACCTTCAAACCTTACTTTGGTTTGTTTTTCTTCCCGTGGCCTGTTGTGCTAGTCTTTAAACCTTTTATTTCCCCTTATATTAATTCCCTTATTCAGCAACTTACCTCTACCTATTTTCCCGCCAACTGAATTTTACACTCTTTTTATATTTACACCATGAAAGTTACAAGACTTCAACTCGGTGTGTATTCTATTCAAGGCAATCAGCAACCTTTTTGTTTGTATTTATTCCCTCTGGTGGCTTCTTCACCCCACGGTCAAGATATATCTTCAAGAACAACTATATATTCTCCATTTTATCGATTAAGGGACATCGATGTTATTTTCTTTAATTCGGAAAATGATTATGTTTCAAAATCGGGTCAAATCCCTCAAGCTTATATAGAAACTCCTGGATACTGTTTTCATGAACGTTCTGGTGACATTTTTTTATCTACCAGAGCTATAAGTGATACTGCTACTCGGTTAGGAAATCTTCTCTTAGCAGAATTTGCAAAATTAGGAAAATCTGATATAATATCGGGTGTAGCTGATCGATATTTAAGAGAAGTTTCAATAAATTTAATGACTCGTGAACCTCTTATAGAGTCTGAGTTTGAATTTTTCATCGCAGATCCTTCTTCAAAATCTGCAATTTCATTTCCCACTTCACAAATTCCCCAAATCCAATCAAGCCCAAAAAGTGTTACAAATTCTCCTAACTCATCTCAAATTTCCGGAAGAAAACGTATGTCCCTCGAAGAAGTTCTAGATAATGATAACGATAGAGAAAATGATCGAATATACGATCAAAAAATAACTTTACAATCTGAACACACTTCTTCACCTTTGGAACCTGAAAGGTTTTTGTTTTTTTCTTTCATACTGTATTAAATGATGTTTCATTATATTTCTCCTAATATTTAATTTATCTTATTTCAGAGGATCCTCAACGATAAAAAAAGAACAATCGCCTGTTTATTCTGGGGGTGATCGTTCTCAAAATTCATCCCCAAATCATTCTCCAAGATCTATTCATTCAGTTCATTCACCAAGATCTATTCATTCAGTTCATTCACCAGGATCACCTCACTCCCCATCTGCACAGAATTCCTCAGGTGATATAATCACAGACTATGACACTAGAATCAGAAAGAAAAGGCGCTTTGCTGTTGGTTCTAATAATAATATCACTCCAAATAATCCGGAAGTCATGCAACAAGTAAGAAATTCACTAAAGTTAAAACAGCAACAAAAGGCTATAATAGAAGCTAGACAATATCAAGCTCATCAACAAATGTTACAGCAACAAAATTATTTTAATGATAAGCAACATCCTGTTACTAGTAATCCTTTGCCATCAAAATCAAGTTCCAATTCATCAAAAGTAGTTTCTCAAAATGCTTTGGATTTGAATAGATCAATTTCTTCCATGTCAAAGCGACATTCAGGAAACAAGAGCAATCGTAATTCTAGGAATCTTAGCGTATTCGCTTCACCTTATACCGGTTACAATCATGGTCAAAGATCTGCTGGTATGCCTACATCTGCTCCTACAATAAAATCTGCCCCAAGTAGACAAAGTGTTTTCGGTTATCCATTATCCACAAATTCTGCTTTTCGACCTACACCACATTCTGCATCCTTCAATGCTAATATTAATGGTCTTATATCTCCTCATAATATTCATAATATTGAAGATGCTAGCCCTATGATTAGCCCGGCTGCCAGTATCCGTTCCAATCCTTCTAATCTGAATAGTCCTACATCTGTTTCTAATGAAGAAAGGCCCTCAAAAGAATCTTTTATTAATCTATTTGATAATTTCTACGATACGGTTTCTGATACACGTTCTCTTAAGACTACTCTCGAAGATCAAATCCGTAAAACGACAACCTTGTTACAAACACTTCATGCATCCGGTGCAATGATTGAAAGTCTCGTTCATGGTCATTTTCGTGAAATGAAAAGAGAGGTTATTAAGGATATGACAGCCTTAGAAAAAAGACTTTCAAAAATTGAAGAGCGTGTGCATAATAATGCTGCTAATACTGGAATGAGCCTTAGTCCACCTCATGATACAGACAGAAGACTTAGTGATATTAGTACTGTTATTGATGATATGAGTTATAAAAATAATGGGAATAATGGAAATACATCAAAACTTGCTCAAGCTGATGGCAAAGATGGCTCATCGCAATTTTTGTCAGCGGGGCATCAACATTATAGCCCACCTTTGTCTTCCTCTTCATCGCGTAATGAAGAGACCCAGCCTCAAGATTACCAAGATGCATTGCTTTCTTTGAAAGCTAGGTTAGAATCCTTAGAAAGACGTACGTCTATCCCATAAATATCTTTGGAATTTGTGTCATCGTTCGATTGCCTTTTAAACCTGAATTTCCTCATAATCCGAATCTCCTCCTACCATCATTTACGACACACCGACCAAATAATCTCATTTATAATGAACATTTACTTTACATTCCTTTAACAACTATTTTATGACTTATCAATTATCATTTTTATTATTTTTATTTTAATAATGTTATAGCAAATAGAATTATATAGATTTCCTTTATCTTTCTTATTTGTTTATTTCAACATAAAGAATTAATTTGGTTTCTCATGTACTCTTGTACAATCAATAGTTCAGGCATTTACTATATTACATATTTTATTTTAATTGCCATGAATCAATAATTCTTTATTCAATTTAGAACTTTTAATACATTTACTATATAATGCATAAAACGAAAAAAAAATCATAATATTTCATTCATTTTAATTATAACATGGACAATTGACAAAAAATTTTACCAAAAAATATTTTCGTATCGAAATAATCATATATTCACGAATATAGCTTGAGAAAATTTTACAAAAAAAAATCAAAAAAAAATCAAAAGTATAAACATTTAATAATTTAATATCAATATTTTCTTATTTTTTTTGAATATTGGTTCTTATTTTTTTAAAGTTTATTTGTACGTGATTCAATCCAAATAAACCGTTTTTTTCATCTTGAAATGCGTATTAGTGTTTCAACATAAATCAACGTGTTTTCTAAAAACTAAGTATTTAGTACTAAATATATTATTGTGCACATACTATATAGTTTGAAACGTTAAATCTTGCGTTTTGAAACATGTTTAAAATCAATCGCGTTTGAATTGTATTTAGTTCGTTTCAAAATAAAAAAGAAAAACCCATCATTCCTAATTTATTAACGTTAATGACCACTATACTATTAATGCAAACTTCTTTAATCTACAAAATGGTTCTAAGAACATATACGTAGTATGTTTGTGTTCTTTTGTCACCTGGAGCATGGTGGTTTTATGCGACTCAACCGCATAGCTATAAGTCCAATATTTTTTAATTAGCCCTATCCTCTATTTAATTAGCCTTAGACTTAGGTCCAACTATCTTTAGCGTTGATGCCATGTGTCTGTGATAACATTATTTCGGCATATCCCGAAATAATACGCATCTTATATAATATGTCAGCGGATTTGTATGTACTGTACGTATACAGTAGTAAATAGGCTCAGAAACTGGCTTGAAATAACGTCAGGTGCCTGCTATTACGGTATCGGTATATCTAATTAGCCACATATATAACTAAATACATGACCAATAATATAAATTTTTTTCTACTGTACGTATCTATCCTAACTCTAATAATAATTTTTAACAAATTTCTTGGCAGTTAGCACTAAGTTTGGACAAATCTGATGCGTAGAGAATTTAAAAAACTATAATTCTGAAATTATGACCTTGTCGCGCAAATTTCTATTATTGAAATTGCGTCTGAGTGAGCCGATTTTACTATAAAACATCCTATTTCTAAAAAAAAAATCAATGCAGGCCAAATCGCGCGTATTTTTGAACACATATATAGGCGATTCCTATTAGAGGTTCGCGCAAAATAAAATTTAAAAAGTTTGGTTCGCATTTTACTTTGCTTTTAACTTATTTGGCTTGCAATTTTAATTTTAATAAGGTTTAAATTTGTTTTTGTATTCGACTCGGCTCGTACGGCTTTCCAATTCTTAACTGAATTTGTTTATTTCGCGAGTAACACACCCAAAAAAGGACAACTAAGGTTAGGACTAGTTTAGTGTTTAGGGTAAAAGTAGGTATATAGGTAAAATTGCCTTTACAACATTTTTATTAGTGTTCTAAGACAGGCTTGGACTGCCGCTTTTGGTAGTTTGTGTTCATTTTTTTTGACTCCTTCGGGATGATAATTTGTGACTTCAATTGGTTGATTTATATAAAAAAAGGCGCATGGTTACATGGTTTTAACTATCTTCCAAAAAAGAAAATTGAATATGAGTGGGGAGGGAAAAGGGCGCACCAGTTTTTTTTAACAGGAGCGACCGTCAAGGTTACACAGATTGCAGATCACTCCCGTGAACCTCCGGTCTTCTATTAGCCAATCAAAATCTCTAATTTCGATTATCAATTTGGGTAATTATTTTTGGATCCAGACCAA